AAGTCTTCCTCATGCATCCAAGTAAATTATGGCCTTTGCCAACTTGAATGCCTGGGTTTGAAGCAGAAATAGTTTATTACTACTGAAGAATAGTTAGGATGTAGAACAGTTATTACCATTAAAGTATCTGAACTACCTGTGTATGTTAAACTGAAGGAAGAGTGAGTGAGTTACAGCTTGTAATAGTGTCTTGGTAAAAGACCTGAAATTGTCAAGAGACTATTTTTATTACATTATAGGAGATGAGAAGTACTTTGGAACTCAGTGTCAAAGCAAGACTCCAGCCCTACCCATGATTCAGGGGTTGCCCTTTCCCTGGGGAAAAGGGAAATTCCATAATTCAGTTTTTTGAATAATGACATGTGGTAACTCTATATTTTTAACCTGTGCTTAAAAAAACCCAGCAAACAAAACCAACCACCACATCAGCTGTACCTCCAAAACAAAATCGTGGTGGAGTTCTTGCTGTATATAGAGAGCCAAACAATTAAAGGAATGTGGAAAAGGAGGATTTTTGCAACTAGGAAAGAACTTCAGGGAGACATGGTTTATAGCTGTGGGATAGCTATCTGTTGGCTGAGTTGGCTGTTAGGGGTACAACCCAGCTAAAAATAAGGTGCAGAGCAGATGAGCCAGGGCAAGGCCAGGCAAGGCCCCAGCCCTTGCTAAGCCAGCACAGAGCTGTGGCCAGGAGAGGAGTTAGTGTGTCTGTGGGCTGTGCAGAGAGCAGCTCTGAGTTGTCACTCTGTGCCTTGTCAGGAGTGTCCTCCCTCTGCTCTCGACTATTAGAGGGCAACAAATCCTTGCTCCAAATGAGCTCTGTTTGATCCTGAGCCTTATTCCTCAGCTTTTGATTGTGTGTTAGAACCTCACAGTGACACTGCACTGCCAGCAACATCCCACTAGATTTCCACAGATCTGGTTGTGCTTCCAGCATCAATCAGGTGAGTGCAGAGCTGCTGCAGTGGGGCCTGACTGGCCAGGGAGTGTGCAGAGCTGCTGCAGTGGGGCCTGACTGGTATTCTCCAACACTGAGAACTCTGGAACAGGCTCAAGTTCCTCTTTGCTTTTTGTATTCCCACTTTCTGGTCATGGGATGGAAAAAGAACAGTTAATAGCTGACCTAAATTCAGGCCTATTTAATTATAGCTTCTTTAAGTTCTGGCTTTGTTCTCTGTGTGTTTGCTGCCAGGTAAGGATCACCTGCAGTCCTAGAAAGCCTCATGCCAGGCAGGGAAGTGATGACAAGAAAATTATGGGGTAAAATTCCAGCCATTTCCATTGGAAAAGTTTATCCCAAGCTGGCTCTGAACGTCGTTGAAATCCAGAGAGGATTATGCCTTTCTACGTGGCTCCCTGAGTGTGCTGCTGGCATGGAGCTGTCGTGTCCAGGAGTGCTGAGAGCTGTTTCTGCTGACACTGCAGGGAAGGGAAGAGCCTTCCCGTGATGTCAGAGCGAGGAGCACAGGGCAGCAAACCTTCCATCCCTCCCAGAGTCATTCTGCAGCTGGAATTGCTCAGATCCCAGAGAAGCACATATTTCATGGAAGCAGTCAGCACTTCCAAGTGTTTCCTTCTCTCTCTTAAGTCAATAACAGAGCAAGGTGGGCTCTGTGTCTGTGGCCCATGGGCTCCATGTGTTTCATGGCTGATCCCTCAGCCCTGAGATCCAGAGCTTCCTTTATTCCCTGTTTGTTCATAACTCTGCCAGTTGCTGTCACTCCAAGGGATCCAGTGGAGGAGAACATAAACAGAGGTAATTCTCCATTCTTGATCATCCCAGGAGGGTGAGAGCGACCTGGGCTGCGTATGAAGTCACGAGGACTTTTTTCTCTTTCTTTCCTTCATTCCTCACTCTGGTGAAGCTGCTGTGAGACTGGAGGTGTGTCCAAACCTGGTTGCTTAGTATTTTCCTTTCTTGTAGGAAATGCTTTAGTGTCTTTGTGTCTTTGACCCACAGACACCAAGACACCTTTGTGGGAGGTGGCACAGCCAACAAACCTTGCCTGCCACGTCCTGAGGCTCTCACAGGTGCAGCAGCACTTCCATCCCCACGTGGTGGACAGCGTGGGGACTTGGCAGTGCTGGTTTAGCAGTTGGACTCGATGATCTGAAGGGTCTTCTCTACCCTCAGTGACTGTGGTTCTGTGCCAAGTGGTTTGTTCTGTGTCTTTTGGTTTGGTTTCTGTTAATACTGCAGTAATTGTTCGTCTGCCTTGAGGGCCATGATGAATGCAGTGTTCTCCTCTGCCTAGCTGCACTGTGTTTGTGCAGCAGCAGTGCTGGCTTGCTTTGTGTTACCAAAAGTTCATAGATAATATTTATTTGTTGTGAAATGTCCCGGAGGGACGTCCTGTAGGGACTTCTGCAAGCAGTTCACCCTTGGCATACAGCGAAACAGGGAGTAAAACTGTGTGTTTTGATGGAGTAAAACTGTATTTTTGTGGCCTACTGGCTTGGTTGGAGTCACTGCAGAGATAAACTCTTTCCTGAGCCCCCAAAAACAAACAAGCAGAAGCTTTGGCAGCAGTTAAGCAAACAGCAAACTCTCTACAGATTGACTGGCTGAGGACTGGTTGGATTTCAAGGAGCAGATTTGAGCCGAGGCTGCAGAGCCCAGTGTGGGTGCTCCGCGTGGGAAGGGGCTCGGGGCAGGGACCTCAGGACAGGACACATTCTTCTCAAGCCACAGAGATTGCTGTGGTAGCATTGCAAAGTCATTTGTGGAGCAGAGGGCAATCTGAGGCAATTCCTCAAGAAAAGATAAGGGGGAACGCATAACTTCCTGGAATTTCGTAGGTCGGTTGGTTTTCGTAAGGACAGAACAAATCAAAGCACACGAGTTCCAGCACATCCCAGAAGCTAATGAGAACATCCTGTTATCACATCTCCCCCCTGGCGACCTGGGTGGTTTGTGTTGCTCATCCCTCGTAATTCGGCAGTGCCACAGGAGTCTTGGATATACACAATTCCTGCGGAAATCAGTGAGAATTCTCTTGGAACTGTTTGGATGCAGCATTTGAACTAAACAGTTCTGCTTTCCTTCCCTGGCTTTTCTGAATCAGCCTGGGGAGGCAGTGGCAGGGTGGCCTGGCCTAGTTTCCTTGCGTTGAGACCTGCAGGATGGAATTTCTTAGCAGCTGCAGAGCACAGTGGTCCCTGGGGCACTTCATACATTATCAACACACTGGTTGGGAAGGGACTTGAACATTGATCTCTGTCGGTTCCAAACTGATTGCTCATTAGTTTAATTTTCTAATTAGTGAGTGAAGGTGTGGATCTTCTCTAGACACTTTTCCCAGCTGTGTTTTCAGGGAAGGGCTAAATGAGGCGATGGAGCAAGTAAGCACATATGAGGAGCAGAGGTAGGTAGATGTGAGGTGTATGTACATCCATCTATCTGTCAGTCAATCTACCTGTCTGTATATGAAAGGAATGTTGATATCAGTGTCAGTGCAGCACAGAACTCAGCCCATGTGTTTTACAACATAAATAACATGGTAAGAATCTCCCATATGAGCAGTGCTGAGGGTTCTCATCAGGGACACAGAAGGTTTGGCTGTGACATGTTCATGACATGAGATTTGGGCAGATCACAGCTTTATTTAGTAGCAGGGAAGGAACTGTAGTTCCATTCTTTTACAGTTGCACTCCAGGAGAGAGATGTGTTGTAACCATTTCTCTTGGCACAAGAGCAGGGGCCAGTCAGTCCCTGACAGGTGAGATTGGGATGTAAGTGGTGCAGGGGACTAGCAAAGTAAAAAAGGAGGAGATAGTGAATCAGCTAATTCCAGAATGAGATTAGGAAGGATTAGTCTGTCTAGCCCAAATCCCCAAACAGCCAGAGCAGTTCTGTGTGTTTCTCCATCATTGCCTCAAGTGTTGTTGGTCTTTCTCCCAAGGAATGAGCAATTGGACAGGAGGAAACAGCCTCAGGTTGCACCAGTGGAGCTTTAGGTTGGCTATTAGGGAAAGTGCCTTCACAGAAAGGGCTGTCAGTCCCTGGCACAGGCTGTCCAGGGTGGAGTCACCGTCCCTGGAGGGATTTAAAACATGTGGAAGTTTTGTGATTCTGTGATGTGGCACTTGGGGACATGGCTAAGTGGTGACCTTGGCAGTGCTGGGGAAGTGGTTGGACTCAATGGACTGAGATCCCTTATGTTCCATTAAGCATTTGGCCATGGATGCAGCCTGCAGCACCTGGAACAGAGCTACCAGCAGTGTGTATAACCTGGGATTGATCCTGGTGGTTTGACTCTGAACTCACTGAAGTACTGGATTATGGAAAACAGGCAGGAGAATTGACAAGCCACTCCTGTTACCTGGTATCTTTCGGCCCTGTGTGTTTGTGGGAAGTGTGGGAGAAGAGGGATGTTCCTGACTGTCACAAGGACACAGGAACTGCCCAGTTCCAGTGAGGACTGTGGTATGTAGCTCGTGGTGTGCACCCTAAGATGTTCCTTACTGATGTTCGTGGCTCAGAGCCTGTTGGAGTGCTGCTGTAGGTTTATGGAGAGCTAACTATCCCACAGCTGTTGGTTTTTTCCCGTCAAAGACCCATGGGGATGTTTTGTTTTAATGTCCTAAGTGGAAGGAACAGCTTTGGATTTCATGTGTGAAGTAAGAACTGTGATAGGTTACAGAACCATGTGGCTGAATGAAGTTACCCATTGGGTTCTGGTCATTTCCCAGCCCTATACCACGAGAATGATCTCTTGAGGGCTCCTCACTTACTTTGTCCAGAGAAGTGGAGATTCCACAGGTGAGGATGCTGTGTGGGAGGAGGTTTCTGGAGTGGAACTGGAATAGGTGGTGGCTATGTAATGGAATCACAGAGTGGGTTGGGTTGGAAGGGATCTTAAAGACCATCCAGTTCCAACCAGGACAGGGACACCTTCCACTAAACCAGGTTTTTCCAAGCCCTGTCCAGCCTGGCCTTGAACACTTCCAGGGATGGGACAGGAGTTAGGACTCCACTGATGCTGGACTGTCCCTTGCAGAGCCCCTCCTGTCCGGCCTGGGAGCGCTGAGTTCCCTGCAGGGCCGCGTGGAGCAGCAGCTGAACGAGACCCTGCGGCGCCGCCGGCACGCGGGAGACAACGACCACAACATCGAGGTGCTGCTGGGGGTGGATGACTCTGTCGTCCGATTCCATGGCAAAGAACACGTCCAGAACTACCTCCTCACCCTCATGAACATCGTGAGTGTCTTCCATGCTTGTTTGGGAATGGGAACGACTGTCGGGAGCTCTTGTAGGAGCCCCAGGCTTGGGAAAAGTAGAGATGGGACCGTTTTGGCTGCTGCTGGATATGGTTTTCTCTTTTCAAGATGTTCCTTTATTTATCTTTTTCACAGTAGTTTTCTAGGGCACATTTGGGGGTAATTCCAAGAATTTGGAAATAGTTGAAAAACAGTAAGGAAAAAATGTAAACTTGATCCATTTCTAGTAATTCCTGACTTCTCCTACAACACAGTTCTGGAGGAGCTCTGGATTGAGAAAAAACATGCAGAGGAAAAAGTGTTCTGAACCCCCAGTGGCTCTCTGACAGCCAACCTTCTGGTAATACAAGTAGGTCTGTCTTAGAAGCTGTGGGATCGTAAGGTTTTCCAGGAAAGGAAAACAATATCCTAAGGGCAGAGATGAGGGAATAGGCTTCCGACAAATAGTGATTTGATGGACGTAGGAATGACTCTAGTATTTTCTACACTCCCCCTCTTATACCTGGGGTAGTTGAAATGTTTCCTTAGGCTTACAAATCACCTACATTTGAGAGAGGAAAGAATCATTCCTATATGAATTTAACCCAACTGATATGTTTTTCAGGGTGACTCAGGAAATCGTTTCCTTTTCCCCACATCCCCCATGGAACGAACACCAACACTAAATCTCCATCACAGATTATTTCAGGGTATTGTCCTTTAGTTTTAAAGACATTTAGCTTGGTGAGCAGCGGGGCTGATCCATGTCCCAGAACACTTCCATCTGTTTTACACACCTGTGGCTCCATCTGCTGGGAGCTGACATCCCCTGCCCAAAGCCATCCAGAGAATGGGATCACAGTGGGGTTTATGGGGAAATCTTGGAGTTTTGGGGCTTCAGGTCAATTCCAGGATGCTTTTTGTCTCTGGGAAACTCCCTTATCGTCTCTTGGCACAAGGGAAGTTGTGTTCATGTTTTCTGTCCCAGTCCTGTGTGGGAGCAGTGCTACTGTGTTAATGGGGAGCAAACAGGAGAGGAGCAAGTGACCTTTGGGATAATTGCTCCACGAGACAGGCAGCTTGAGCTCTGTGCCCATTCCCTGTCACACTGCCCTGCTGACACTGCTCTTGGCTCCAGGGATTGCACATTTAAACCACAGGCTGAAATCCTCACACCAGGACCCACAGTCTGGACAACTCCCAACAACCTTTTATCCCTGAGGGAACGGGGAAGTTCAGTTTAGCCTGACTGAAAAATCAAACAACCCTCCAACTCCTGTCCAAACGCAGCGGCCTCTGGCAGAGGTGTTTATGCCTCACCGACTGCCCGTAACGTAATACTGATTTTGGTTTTAGGGGGATGAGGAGCTTCATTGAGGACCTACAGATGTTCACACTCTGGTGCCAGGACATTTCTCACCCTCCCAGACACAAGGAAGGGCCTCAAGAAGGACAGTTTTTGGCCCATCTGCATAATTGTGGTTTTCTCACTTCCCTTCCACAAAGCCTCTTTTTAGCACATAAATGACCACAGAATCCTCACTGAGCTCTAGAAAGTAGGGCAGAAGGATTAGTTGCTTCTAAAAAAAAAATACTCTTCAAAAGAAGAAGCAGTGGAAGTGCCCAAGGCCAGGTTGGATGGGGCTTGGAACACCCTGGGCTAGTGGAAGGCATCCCTGCCCATGGCAGGGGTGGAACAAGATGAGCTTTAGGGTCCGTTCTGACCCAAACCAGTCTGGGATTCTGAGATTTGAAGTCTTTTCCCTAGTCACCTTTTGTTTGGGCCCTGATCTATCAAACATGAGAGGAGCCTTGACATGTGCTTCCCAAAGTTCTGTGGGAAGAGGTATATGATGATGGGAAGTGAATCTACATTTCTCTCAGCATGGAAGTGATCTAAGATTTGAATCCTCTTCTGTGAAGACTGTAGTCGTACAAGCACTTGAAATAACATCTCTGTGGCCTGGGAAGTTCCTTTGGTATCATAGTGGTTTTTCTCTTTAATTTTTCCCTCTTTCCCCCCTCAGGTGAATGAGATTTACCACGACGAGTCCCTGGGCGTTCACATCAACGTCGTGCTGGTCCGCATGATCATGCTGGGCTACGCGAAGGTGAGCGAGACAGTTCTCCACCTTCCTCTCCTGGGCAGAGCACCCAAACTGGTCTGAATTTCCTGCCTTTAGGAGCTGCTGGCTCTAGTGTGTGTCTCTTTCAGTCCATCAGCCTGATCGAAAGGGGGAACCCCTCGCGGAGCCTGGAGAACGTGTGCCGCTGGGCCTATCAGCAGCAGAAGTCGGACCCCAGCCACTCCGAGCACCACGACCATGCCATCTTCTTAACCAGGCAAGATTTTGGGCCCGCTGGTATGCAAGGTAATGCAGCTGAGCTGGAGCAGAGCTCTCTGGGCTCGGTGTTTCTTGGCTGGCCTCTCCCAGAAAAGAGGAAAAATCGGGCATTGCGTTGTTAGCACTTCCTCCCATTCATTCCACAGACTTTTTCCAAAGGCCATGAGTCTCTGCCATTTATTTCCAACTGAAGACTGAATTTCTCACTTGAGAGGTGTAAATAAACACCTATTCACTCTCCTCAAAGCCTGGTGTGTGCAGGGATCTCTCGATGCTCTTGGCATTCCACTTCACTTGATTTTATTGCATCCTTCCCTCTGGGTTAGTTTACAGACATCCCAACCACTTGGATTCCTGCATCCACCTTTGGGTCTCAAGGAACTAACAACAATGGGCAGGAATCCCTGGAGTGTGGGTTGTGCCAGGGCAGGTTCTGAGCAGGCTTTCCTGGCCTCAGAGCAATGTTGGCTGTTCCTGCAGCAGTTTATTGGGGGGTCTCGTTTAAAATCCATGTCCTGGGCACAGGACTCAGCCCTGGTGTCTCTCCATAGGATATGCTCCTGTGACTGGCATGTGCCACCCGGTCCGGAGCTGCACCCTCAACCACGAGGACGGGTTCTCCTCAGCCTTTGTTGTTGCTCATGAAACTGGGCACGTGTAAGTGTAACTTCTACGAACAGGTCACACCAGAACACGGTGCTGCACCTCCTGCTTGCTCCAAGGGGGTTGGGTTCAATGGCTCTATGAAAGCTGTCCTGGTGGTATTTCCATCCCCTGGGAATGCATCAGAGGTTTGAGCAATGGAGAGACAAGTGTGGGAAGAAAGGAAGGGGAGAAAGAGGGGGAACTTGTTTTCTCTAGGGTGAGGGAAAGGTCTGGAAGGGATGTGGAAGGCCCAGGCAGCAGAGATGGGAGCTGCTCAAGTGTACTTCACTACCTTCTCCTCCCCAGCTGCCTGTGCTGGTGTTCAGATTTGGCTCTTTCAAGAAGAGTTTCCTTGCAGCTGTTGTCCCTGGGCTCTGAGGGGATTCTTTGTTCCAGGCTGGGCATGGAGCACGACGGGCAAGGGAACCGATGTGGGGACGAGACGGCGATGGGCAGTGTCATGGCCCCGTTGGTGCAGGCTGCCTTCCACCGCTACCACTGGTCCCGCTGCAGCGGCCAGGAGCTCAGGAGATACATCCAGTAAGGCTCCCTGGTGCAGCAGGTCTCTGATCCCTGTTTTTCCAGACCCTTCTTCCCTTCAAATCTGTGTCAGAAAAGCTCTAAGCCAGGAATGATGCCTCCTTGTGTGGGGCTGTCTCACAGCCTGTCCAATGAGGATGGAAATGGAGTGGAAAGATCCCTCTGACTCCGGTGGGATTTGGAATAGGCCTCAGATTGTCACAGAATCCCAGAATGGTTTGGGTTGGAAGGGACCTTGAAGCTCATCTCATTCCACCACCCCCACCATGAGCAGGGACACCTTCCTCTAGACCAGGGTGCTCCAAGCCACTTCCAGCCTGGCCATGAACAATTCCAGGGATGGAGCAGGAATTAGGAATATGCATTTTCCCACTATGTTTTTTTCCTCTTTCCACAGCTCTTACGACTGTCTTCTTGATGACCCTTTTGAGCACGACTGGCCCAAGCTCCCTGAGCTGCCAGGCATCAACTATTCCATGGATGAGCAGTGCCGCTTTGACTTCGGCGTGGGCTATAGGATGTGCACGGCGGTGCGTCCCGGGGGCTTGAGCAGGCACACACAGCAGGAGGGTCTGGCCTGGCAGGAGAGCTGCAATGTATCATGGCTGCATAGCTGGAGAGCAGTTAATGGAGTATTTAAACACATCTGTGGGAAGCAGAGGAATATTCATGGGGGAAACCTCTGGGGCCTTTGGGTTAACACGCAGGTGGGCGATGGCACAGTCCACATGGCACAGACTGGTGGGAGAGGTCCCAAGGGAGAAAAGGGAAAGAACCTCTTTTTCCTCCCCCTTCTGGCTGTCTCCTTTCCTCTTCTCTGGGGTGTGCATGGAGTAAGCAGTGTCCTGAAGACAGAGGACATTGGGGTCCTCTATCTTGGGGTGTGCGAGGTGAATCGGTGGGGTGGGTCAAACCCTTACCCAAAAAGCATAAATAACCTGATGTTGGGTTTCATCTCCTAACTGCTGTGGGTTGCAGTTCCGAACCTTTGACCCCTGCAAGCAGCTGTGGTGCAGCCACCCCGACAACCCCTACTTCTGCAAGACCAAGAAGGGACCTCCCCTCGACGGCACAGAGTGTGCCCCGGGAAAGGTGAGTCTGGGCTTTGCATGGTGTTTGTCTTGGGAAAACAACCCAGCAGTTGCATCCATTTGAGACACACAGGGAACAGGCCTGGCATCCTCTGGGAAAAGAGGGAGCTGTGCTTTCCCAGTAGGATACTCCACGAACTGTATGAGGTTTGCTGTAGTACACTTTGGGCACAGAAACGCCAGCTGAGGTGTAATTCATCCTGTGAGCTTTTTGATATGCTTTTTGGGTTCTGTCTCATTTGCAAAGTGTCCATAAATGTCTTTAGGAATCCAGGGAAACAGGTGATGCTGTTACTGTGTGATGACTTCTTGTTCTTGTTCAGAGCTTGTGGTAAATGACCCTGTGGCAGATGTTGGTGTGGGCTGAGGATTAGTGCTTGATTTTGCCCTTTAGTATCCTCATTAGTGGGTGTCCTGCTGCTAGGCTATTTTTAGTTAGAAAATTATACTCAGATACCTGTTTTTTTAACCAGCTCCCTGCATTCTGAGACACAGGAGGAGCCACCTGTACCATCTGAGTGTGCCCTGGGCCTCAACAAAATGTCCTGTGCTGAAGGGATACCTTTGTTTTGGGGGTTGTGTATGTTCTCACCTGTTTTCCTGCCCAAATTCCCTCAGTGGTGCTACAAGGGTCACTGCATGTGGAAGAACACCAACCAGCTGAAGCAGGATGGCCACTGGGGACCCTGGACCAAGTTTGGCTCCTGCTCCCGGACCTGTGGAACTGGAGTTCGCTTCCGCACGCGCCAGTGCAACAACCCCATGTAGGTCTGGGAGTTACATCCACCTGGGAGTCCTCAGAGGGGTCACTGGAAATGGCACTTGGGTTTTGGGTGGAGGTTCTAGTCAAGCCCCTTGGAATGGGATCATCTGGGGAGAATCCAAGAATTTCATACAGTCATAGAATCCTGGAATGGTTTGGGTTGGAAGGGACCCATGCCATGGGCAGGGATACCTTCCACTAGGTAGAATTGCATCTTTCTTTTTCTAGTTTTATCCCACTTGTGCTGCATCAAGAGGATCTGGAGTTTGATTTGTCTCTTTAGCTTGTGACATTTTTGGGGGGTTTTGGGCACTGTAAAGAATTAAATGGGAAACAAGCCTTGGTATTGAATAGACTTTCCCAGAAGTGAGTGCACACATCATGCAGAGGGAGGTGTTGGAAATAGTATGTATTGGTCACCCTGGAAATTCTCAGAGGGAGCACCAAGCCCCAGGGAGTTCAGTAATGGTGCTCAGGACCCCAGTGGGACTGTGGGGCCCGGATAGGGATAGGATAAATAAATGGATAGGGATTTTACTCTCCAAGGAGCTATGGGGAAAGCCTTCAATTTTACCCCGTGCAGTTACCTCAGGAGCCTTGAGGTTCATCTCATCCCACTAGCCCAGGTTGCTCCAAGCCCCATCCAGCCTGGCCTGGAGCACTCCCAGGGATTAGGCAGCCACAAATTCTCCAGGCAACCTGTGCCAGTGTCTCCCCACCCTCCCAGGGCAGAGCTTCTCCCTCACGGAGCCTCTGGAATGCTTTCCCCCCACAGGCCCATCAACGGGGGCGACGACTGCGCCGGGGTCAATTTTGAGTTCCAGCTGTGCAGCACCGAGGAGTGTCCCAAGCACTTTGAGGACTTCAGGGCGCAGCAGTGCCAGCAGCGCAATTCCCAGCTGGAGTTCCGCGGCAGCCGCCACCACTCGCCTGCCCAGGCTGAGCCCC